GGGAACGTCAAGCCAAAGAGAAGGGGATGGCTCCAAGAGGCAGATCTGCAGATGGCAGGGGTGCTAATTTACATACTGTGTTTAATATGAAGCTGATTGGTAAGGTGACATTTGAGAGAAATAAAAAAGAACAAGGTGTGAATGTATAATTGAGGTAGGGCATTCAGCTAAGAGAAAAAAAATAACAAACAATGGAAGGAGCCAGAGCTTGGTTGGTTGAACTCATCTGAGATGTTGTTATGTTAACCAGATTATAACAGAGATAAATTTTATACTGTTGCTTCTAGTAGAAAATGAAAGAATTTTAATGGTACATGCATATAATATAAAACATAAACAGGAGGTTGGGGAGATGGCTCAGTGGGTAAGAGGGCTAGTTATGTAAGCAGGTGGACCTGAGTTCAAATCCCTAAGACCTATATAATAGTTGGCCATGATCACTGCAAGTGGCATGCTAGGTGGAAACAGGATCTCAGGTGTCCACCAGCCTGCCAACCTAGTTAACACAGTGAGTATTGGGTTCAATGAGACCCTGTTTCAGAAAATAGAGGGCCATCGAGATGGTTTAATGGGTAAAGGCAATTACTGCATTAAGACTGAGTACTAATCTCAGTAGAAGGAGGTAGAAATCTAGAGGATTCCACAAAGTTGTCCCCTAGCCTGTATACTCATGCATTGGCACATGTACACATAGAATAATAAAATTTTTAAATTAAAAAGGCATGTACAGTACAGCATGCACATATATACACACACATACACATGGCTATTAATTAATTTCTAATTAAATATAACTATATCATTTCCTCCCTCCAAACCTTCCAATGCCCCTACTTCCTCTCAATTTTTTACCCTTTTTCTTTAACTGTTATTGTTACATAGATCTATAAATGCATACATATATAAATACAATGTACTGAGTTTGTTTAGTGTTAACTGTATGTGTATGATTTCAGAATTGACCATTTGGTATTAGATAATGAAATTGGAGGCTCATCCCTGGGGAATACTAATTTACCCACTTTTAGCATTCCTTAGTTGCCTATAGTTCTTTGTCTATGGGTAGGACCCAGTGAGACTCTACCTCCTACCCCTAGAATCCCTTTTGACTTTTCGGTCTCTGTGGTTACTCCAGATTATATATACTCACACCTAAAGATCTGGGGTTAGAAATCACAGGCGAGAGAGAACATGTGCCTTTCCTCTTCTGGGTCTGCATTGCCTCCCTCGATGTATTACTTTCTAATTACATCCAATTACCTGAACGTTCCATAATTTCATTTTTTACAGCTGAATAATATTCTGTTGTATATATGCACTACATTTTCAACCTCCATTCAAATATTAAAGGACATTGAAGTTATTTCCATCCCCTAGCTTTTGTGAATAGAGCAGGAATGAAAATAAGAGGAAAATAAATACTCCCTGAGGATTAGCTTTCATAATACCAGAAGGTGCTATGCATGGTGCCATGAGAAGGAAGCAGCCAGTAGACCTGTCTAGACTGGATTCAGCTCAGGTCAAGTAGGTGTTGAGTCCTTCAAGCATATGCTGAGGAGTGGCAGAGTCACAGGGTAGATTTATTCCTAGTTTTTAAAGAATTCTCCACACTGATTCTCAGAGTATCTGGACCCATTTGCAAGCCCACCAACAGTGATTGTGGGTCCCCTTTCCTTGCATCCTGTCCAGCATTTGTTGTAGGTTATTTGTTGACGGCAGCCATTCTGACTAGTGTCAGATAAAGTCTCAAATATTGTTTTGGTTTGCAGTTCCATAATTGCTAAGGATGATGAACATGTTTCTATTTCTTCTTTTGAGAACTTTCTGTTCAGATTCCCAAGCCCATTTTTTGAATGGGTTGTTTTGGGTTTTTTTTTTTCTTTGTTTTTGAGTTATTTATATCTCCGGGGTCTTCTCTGTCAGATATATAGCTAGTGAAGATTCTCTCCCATCCCACAGACTCCCGGTTCACTCAATTGATTGATTGTTTAGCTATGCAGAAAGCTCTTTAGCTTTATGAGGACCCACTTGTTAGTTATTGACCTAAATTCTTGGGCGCAGAGAGTCCTATTCAGAAAGTCCCTTCCTACACTATGTCTGTAGGGTAGTGCCTATATTTTCTCCTAGCAGTTTCAGTGTCTCAGGTTTCACATTGAGGTCTTGAATCCATTTGGACTTAGGTTTTGTGCAAGGTTGACAGATGGGGGTCTAATTTCCTTTTCCTGCATTGGATACTCAGTTTTCCCAGCACCGTTTTTGAAGATGCTGTCTAAAATGTGTGTCTTGTATAGGGCACATGCTCAGTATGCATGAGGTCCTGGGGGTCAAGCCCCGGCACTCCACTCCCTCCCCTCCCAAAGAAAATGGATGGAGATGTCAGGAAAAGACTGGCACCCAGAAACGGCTGCTTAGTGTTTGTGGACTGCTGATTGGAACACGGGTGCATAGGGAAAACAAAATAGAGCCAGATGGGCTTGCTCTTAGTAGGAAGACATTTATTAGTAGATAGAAGCCTTGGCAGAATTCAGACACATATCCAACCTCAACTTGTTAAAAGACTGTTACTTCCAGAGAGTCAGGTCACAGTGGTTATGAAATGTAGGGTCATAGCTGTGTGTGTTTTTTATATGTGTTGTTTTTGTGTGTGTGTGTGTGTGTGTGTGTGTGTGTGTGTGTACACGTAAAATTAGGTTTGTTTTGAGATAGGGTTTTATGTAAAACATGCTGGCCTCAAACTTGCTGTAGAGGCAACTGCCGAAAGACTAAGAAATAGGAATTTTCCCAGAACAATCCACATAAAAGAGCAGCGCTATAGTCAGGTCTGCCCAGATTGAGTAATCAGACGAGTGTGACACAGATTGGTCAAAGTGGATTATACAGTATACTGGAGTCACAGTTATCTCAGAGAATCTTCCATCCACATTGGTTATGAGAGGGTTAGGGGACCTGAAATCTTTTCACCCAGAGTTTGCTAATCCAGACTTTACACCACATATATCATTAAGCCATGGATGAAGAGATTTAGAATTGTTCTATTGACATTAGGCATCTATTTTCCAAGAATATTGCCCTCTCTGCAAGTCTTGCTGTTTTCAGAGACTTTGGGCATCATTTGCAAAGAGTTTAAAAAAAAAAAAAAGATGGCAGGCTGAAGAGCATAAGGAATTTACAGTATGTTTGGAGGACAGAGGCTTGTGGCCATGCCTGAATTCTACCAAATATGCCTTAACAAAGGGTTCTTAAAAAAAGCACCTAGAATTTGCTGCCAAATTCCAGTGTTTTCAATCATCATAAAATCAACCTCATAGTTTTTAAGGTTGACAAGATTTATCTGTTTTGTTTTGTGGTGGATTTGCAGCTTCAAACTTGAAATAGTAACAGCAAACTTGCCTATACAGGAATATTTTATAAATATATCAACATGGATATGTATAGGAGCCAACAGGAGTCTTAGGTTCTCTGTATTTTACTGACTCATCCAGGATTTGATTAGGTGTGTGTGGACTGTGCTGTAATGCTTGAGGTGCATTCTGTCTCAGTGTGCAATAGGAGAGCTGGGAACTTCATGGTTTTTATACTTTGACAGAAAAAGGTAACAAGCTATTGTATTTGAGAGGAAACCAAGTGACCATGTAAAGGATATTTTAAGACAATGCTCACGAGACTAGGCATGCCCACTCATGGGGCCTGCAGTCTCTGAATCGCTCCTTGCTCCTCTTCCTGCCCTTGCCAATGGTTTTCTTTGAAAGCGCCTTTACACCGTTGCATAAATACTGTTGTTTTCACTGCTGAGCTACACACTCACAGAACAAACATAAGGATTTGATCATCATGGTTAAGAGAGCCTAGAAGTCAAGAGCATTGGTTGCTCTTCCAGAGGACTTAAATTCAGTTCCCACCACCCACATAATGACTTACAAACTTCTGTAATTCCAAATCCAGGGGATCCAGTGCCCACTTTTGGACTCCACAGGCACTGGATGCAAATAATGCACAGGTATACATGCACATAAAACACATATGTGAAATAAAATAAAAATTAAACTTGGCATGGTGGTACATGCACTTGTGAGGCAAAGGCAAATGGATCTCTATGAGTTTGAAGTCAGCCTGGGCTAACTGACAAGTAACATCCCTATCAAAGCTACATAGTGATTAAATTATTTTTTTTATTTCCAAAACAGGCATATTTAGAGTTGAACACCATCCTAATAGATCTTTTAAAAAATCTCCCATGGAGAGGGGGTGTTGAGTACAGGAGCTCCTGCATGTGTGGACACACACTGATCTGCTGGTACTAAATTCAATGTCTCCATCCTTAAAGAATTTGTTTTTGAGTGGGTTTCTAGGTTAAAAGTTTCTGCTTTAAAGAAATCATCTCCTGGCATCCATCAGTTCCAGGACATGTACTGTAATTCCATCTTTTTTTCCTGTGTAAGTAGTATGTGTCTGTCTTCAGAAGTATCCTCTGAGCAACAGTGATAGATAAGTGCTGGGTTTTGCTTTTCTGTCTGTCCTTCTGGGTAGTCTCGAAATTTGCAGACTTCGACTTCAGTGTTTCATGAATGTTTAACAGTTCTTAGCCATTAAACTTTGAGATATATCCTTTGCCCATTCTCTGTCTTCATTTTGTGTATTTTATTTCTGTGTTTAAATAGTTAAATATATCACTCTTGTATATTCTGTTATATTAAACATTTGTTTTCTATTTTGTTAAATTGTTTTAAGGTTGGATAGTTTCTGTTGAGCTGTCTTTCTAGTCCATTGATTCTTTCTTTGACTCTGTCAAATTTACTGGCAAGCTGGTCAAAGGAATTTGTCCTTTCTATTGGTTTCTTATTTTTAGCACTTCTGCTTGATTCTAGTTTTCATTCCTTAGACATTTTTTGAATTTCTTCTTATTTTCCTTCTTCCCTATAGCAGCGATAGAGGTGAAATTCAGGTCTGGTTATTGTTATTGTTAGTACTACTGTTTTAACATTTCTTTTTCTTATGTCTAGAAAAGCCCCTTGACCAAAGACTGTCCCAGACAGAAAATCATTCAAACAGGCTCTGGAAAACAGGCAGTGAGAAGACGGATGCTGTGCTGAGGACCAGCCTACTAATCGTTTGACTTGCTCAGGGTTAGTAGTCTTCTAGATCTGGCCTTTTCCCCTTCTGGATTTTCTAAAGACAAATCAAAATAATTATTGCTTTTCTCTTGTTCAACCTAAGTTAAAGAAACATGGGTAATCTTTATGTGTCTTGTGTTCTTGAATAGGATGTGGGCTCTTAAGAGTGTACACCTTGGTGATGATAGGCCTTTAGAACCTGAGAAAGGTCTTTTTTTCCTCTATCAATTCAGAACTTCCACAGTCCTGCACCTATTTTGCTCCTATTTGGGCATAGTCACAATGTGTTTGTTCTTTGATTGACTTGAACACCAAGTGCTACACTTGGTGGTGACCACATTGGTGGACAGACTGGCATGCCTTTTCCTGCAGGAGCTGCAGAGGCTCCTGCTTGATTAACAGGTACAGAATGCCACAGGACACTGAGGGAGACTGATCCATTTGAGCTCAGGGGATCAGTTGCTGCTGTTAGTAATGGTACCATTTTAGCTGGATTTTATAAAATGATTAAAGTCTTGACAGAGCTTGCTATGCTATGTGTCTTGGGGTTTTTATTGCTTTAAAGAGACACCATGACCACAGCAACTCTTATAAGGACAATATTTAATTGGGGTGGCTCACTTACAGTTTTCAGAGGTTCAGTCCATTGTCATCATGGTGGGGAGCATGGCAGAGTGCAAGCAGACATGGTGCTGGTTAAATCTTGATCAAAAGGTGACAGGAAGTCAACTGAGACACTGGGCGGTATCCTGAGCATAGGAAACCTCGAAGCTTGCCCCTACAGCCTCCAATGAGGCTACACTCACTCCAACAAAGCCAAAGCCATACCTCCTAATAATGCCACTTCCTATGAGATTCATGGGGGCCAATTCAAACTATCACATTCTACTCCCTGCCCCCCATAAGTTTGTAACAGTATCATGTTACAAATGTATTTAGCCCAACTTCAGAAGTCCCCATAGTCTATAACAGTCTCAACATTTAAAAGTCCAAAGTTCAAAGTCTCTTCTGAGATTGATGCAAACTCTTAACTGTAAAATCAAAATAAAAAAGCAGATCATAATACTTTTAACATATAATAGCATAGGATATACATTACCATTCCAAAATGTAGGGAAGGGAGCATAGCAAGGAAATACTAGACCAAAGCAAGACTGAAAACCAGCTAGACAAACTCCAAACTGTATTTTTATCTCTGATGTCACAACACTCTTCAAATTTCCAACTCCTTTCAGCTTTGTTGACTGCAACACACATCTTTCTCTTGGGCTAGTTCACTCCCCATTATCAGCTCTCAGCAGGCATACTACTATCCTGGCATCTCTGATATCTCAGGTTCTCTAAGGCAATCCTGGCTTCAACTTCACAGCTTCAAGCCATGACCTCTCTACTATTCCATTCAGGGATGCTCCTGACACATGCCTGGCCTCAGTGGTTTTCTTAATTCCTTTTCATAAGTTGGAAACTTAGCTGGGTGGGATCTTTCCCTGAGGTCACCACTCCCTTTATTCCGTTTCTTAATCTGTTTATCTCCTTGAACACAGGACTTAGCTCCATCCCATGTCCTGGTGCTTTTTCCCCTCAAATTTTAGGTTTTGTAATTACCTTGCACAGTTTGCTCTTTTTCCTTATAAATCTTCATTAGAGTTACCACTGACAACCACACGACAGAGTCTGTACTAGGTAGGCAGTTGTTTTGAGATTTCCTCTGCCAACTGAATTTATTCAAAAGTCTTCATTTTAGCGTCAGTCAGACTCTTTGGACAAGTGCAAAAAGCAGTCACTTAATTCACCAAAATATCACAAAACTGTCTCTAGATCACAAACTAGCATTCTTCTGAAACCTCTTGATCCCCACAGTTCAACAAATAACTGTTAGCGCCAGTGCCTTCCCTGCTTCTACTAGTATAGCCCATTAAGCAGTGCTTAAAGTACCCCTCCGCTTCCTAACCCAAAGTACCCAAGTTCCTAAAAAAAGAAAAAAAGGTCAGGTCTATCACAACACTACAATACCCCAGTCTCTGGTACCAACTTCTGTCTTAGTTAGTGTTTTTATTTCTGTGAAGAGATACCATGACCACAGCAACTCTTATGAAGAAAACATTTAATTGGGGGTGGCTTGCTTTAAGTTTCTGAGGTTTCATCCATAATCACTGTGGTGAAGAGCAGGGCAGAGTGCAGACAGACATGCTAAATCTCGATCAGAAGGCAACAGGAAATCAACTGAGACACTGGTGCTATCCAGAGCATGGGAAACCTCAAAACCTGCCCTCACAGTGACACACTTCCTCCAACAAGACCATGCCCATGCCAACAAATCCACACATAGTGCTACTCCCTGTGAAATTATGAGGGCCAGTTACATTCAAACTACCACACTAGGCTAAGCTCACAGTTTGTGCAGAAGGTATTTGTGCCATGTTCACTGACAATTTACCCTTTTAAGAGCCTTGTTCTTTTCCTGTTGTTTTAAGTTCTCTTGTTGTCTTTTCTTTTTTATTATTTTTATCTTCTTATATTGTTTTATTTCTTCTAGTTCCTAGTGGTAGATCCTTTAGCACTAGATCTGGAGTTTGGGGTCCAGAGTTGTAGGGTAACTTGTTTATCTTCCAAGTAAAAGTTCTGGGCAACATTACTTTCTCTACTCAGCCTGTAAAGACCATTGGTAGCATATGGAAAGGAGAAAGGCTGCCCTGATATATTTTTGGAGAATAATCTTCAGGGGATCCAGAAAGACACAAAGGAGAATCTTCAGTGTTCTTGAGAAATTCTGTACCAACCCAGTGACTTGCTGTTTATAGTCTACTTCTGGTCTTTCTCCCTGACCTCTTTCAGGCCAGGAGAAATGAAGCTCATTAAAGGAGTAGATATTTGAGTTATCTACCCCCCAGACTGGGCATAGTGGCCCATGCTTTTAATTCCAGTATGAAGGAGGCAGAGGCAGGTGGCTCTCTGTGAATCTTAAGCTAGCTTGGTCCACATAACAAGTTCCAGGTCAGCTATATAGTGAAACCCTGCCTGAAAAGAAAAAGCCTACCCCACATGGAATTCTTTTACTCCACAAAAGGACTGCTAATGTATGTGAGTACTGGGCACTAGTTTATAATTTAACATAAATATTTTTTCTGTGTTAGGAAGTAAACCATCTATCTCCAGAAATGTCTTCAGAAAATAAAGAGCAACATGACCTTTCACCGAGGGACTCACCTGAAGAAGCCTACAGTCTTCCACCTGAGGTCCCCCTGGAGGCTCAAAGGGGATCAAGCACTGACTTCACGCACTTGGAAACCAATGATCAAGGCAGACCTTATCGTAGGATTCACCTGGAGCCTCAGGAGAAGCCAGATATTAACATCAAAAAAGTTGTCACCAGAAAGCTGCAGAAGAGTTGCCAGTGTAGCCCAGGCAAAGTCAGAAATATGATTTTTGATTTCCTTCCTGTTTTGCGGTGGCTCCCAAAATATGATCTCAAGAAAAACATTTTAGGTGATGTGATGTCTGGCCTGATTGTGGGCATACTTTTGGTGCCCCAGTCTATTGCTTACTCCCTGTTGGCTGGCCAAGAACCTATCTATGGTCTGTATACGTCATTTTTTGCCAGCATCATTTATTGCCTGTTTGGTACCTCACGCCACATCTCTGTGGGCATTTTTGGAATACTGTGCCTTATGATTGGTGAGGTAGTTGACCGAGAACTGCATAAAGCCTGCCCTGACATTGCTGCTGCATCATCTTCATTATCAGTGGTTTCAAATGGATCTGAGTTAGTAAGCCATACATTAGACAGACTTTGTAACAAAAGTTCTTATGCAATTAAAATAGGCAGCACTGTGACCTTCATGGCTGGAATTTATCAGGTAAGAAATGGTGAACAGTTATTCTGGGTGTGGTAGCCCAGCACTCAGGGGTCAGGGGCAGAAGGATCTCTGAATTTGAGACCTGCCTGGTTTCATAGCAAGTTCCAGGATTACATGGTGAGACCTTGGGACAAAGCACAAAAAGGGACGGAAATACTTAGCAATTGGTTATTTCTGGCAAAAGCAATCACTATACACAAAATCTTTGGCATGGGGGCTATTAGGGATTTAGTAAAGCTACCATTTACTGAATGCTGAAGATATGAATGGTAGAACCCAAAGCCAAACTCTGCATTCCACTGGTTAAATGGGGCTGGCTTCCTGCTTGTTCCTAGGCTGCCTTATAAGCAGAGACCAACAATCATATTTTTATTATTAGAAAAAAAATTAGATCAGAAAGGGTCCTCAGACCATCTAGTACAATTCTTTACTTTCTATGTTGGCAACACTGGGTTTGCTTAAAGTCATATGTGGCTGATCATTAGCCAGATTGCCATGAGCAGTCAGACAAGAGGGTGATAGATCGGGGAGGGGTGAGGAAGAGAGAAGTAGAATGCCAGAGCCATTCAAATTACTGCCCGCCTTCCTAAAGAATAGCATCTCCAGTGAGAGGCTTCTGCTAAATTTAGTATTTCTCTTGGATTGATGAAGAAGGAGAAAAAAACTTGAGGACCTTCATTTTACCAGCCAAGAGAAACAAATACAAATCAAAACCTTCTTGATTCTCCTAAGGAACCCGCTAATCTGCTGTTATGATTATGCCCCTGCCTTTTAGCATCCAGAAATCAATACCAACATCAAACCTGCTCTCTATTGTAGGCATTAGGAGCCAGGAAGAATAGTTGGCTTTAGTTGACATTGGATGAGGTGGGAGAGACAGAAGGAAGAGAGTGATGGTTTATGTTGCCTATGGTCCATGTTGGCTTTGTTAGTTTATCTGACCAAGGTAGGGGGAAGGTAGTAGAATTCTTCGGACTTGGGCAGAAAGGATGGAGGAGTATTGCTGACTCAGAGGTGTTACAGCATGTGATTCAATTTTAATGTGAACCCAGTTAAAATGTTACTTTCAGATGTATAGTGGTACATGCCCATAATCGTAGCATTTGGGAAGTAGAGGCAAGTAGATCAGGAGTTTTGGGTCATCGAAGTTCAAGGCTACCCTGGGACCATGAGACCTTGCCTCCAAAAGTAAAAATTAAAAATCTCCATTTTATGGTAATAATTTTTAGTTTGGAGAAGCAATCTTTTTTTTTTTTTTTGAGACAGTATTTCTCTGTATTGCTTTGCTCTGTAGACCAGGATAGCCTTGAACTCATAGAGATACACCTGCCTCTGCCTCCCGAGTGCTGGGACTAAAGACATGTGCCACCAACACCCATCAAGAAAATATTTTCTTAAATAGAAGAAGTTCTTGAATTTGAGTTTGTATACATTTGTTGGGAATCTTAAAAATACTCTTTGAAAGTCTTCACTGTGTTCCAGTTTTAAATTATTGTATAAGGTAGAAACCCAAAGTCTGTCAGGCAGTGGTAGGGCATACCTTTAATCCCAGCACTCAAGAAGCAGAGGCAGGTGGATCTCTGTGAGCTCAAGGCTGGCCTGCTTTACAGAGGAAGTTCCAGGACAGGCTCCAAAGCTACAAAGAAACCCTGTCTTGTAAAACCAAAAAAAGAAAGAAAGAGAGAGAGAGAGAGAGAGAGAGAGAGAGAGAGAGAGAGAGAGGAAGGAAGGGAGGAAGAAAGAAAGAGGAAGGAAGGAAGGAAGGAAGGAAGGAAGAAAAGAAACCACTTCACAATGCCACTACACCAAGTCCTCATTATAGTTGGCTAGTGAGTATAACTTTGGGCAAGCTTCCTTGCCTTGTGACATGAAAAGTCATGTATGATTTCATTTCTTTTAGTGCTCACACTCTGGTACTCTGATAGTTTGTCACCATGCAAGGAAGACCAGGGTGGTATGAACCTGAGGAGCTCGTTCCCATCTCTGTTTAACACTTGCATATGCTCCTTTCCAGGTAGCGATGGGCTTCTTTCAAGTGGGCTTTGTCTCTGTCTACCTCTCAGATGCCTTGCTGAGTGGGTTTGTCACGGGTGCCTCCTTTACCATTCTCACATCTCAGGCCAAGTATCTCCTCGGACTGAGCCTTCCTCGGAGCCATGGTATAGGCTCCGTCATCACTACCTGGATCCACATCTTCAGAAACATTCATAAGACCAATATCTGTGATCTCGTCACCAGCCTTTTGTGTCTTCTGGTCCTTTTGCCAACCAAAGAACTCAATGAACACTTCAAAGCCAAGCTCAAGGCACCAATCCCGACCGAACTCATTGTCGTTGTGGCAGCCACATTAGCTTCTCATTTTGGAAAACTAAATGAGAAATACAATTCCAGTATTTCTGGACATATTCCCACTGGGTTTATGCCACCTAAAGCACCAGATTGGAGCCTAATTCCTAATGTGGCTGTAGATGCAATAGCTATTTCTATCATTGGTTTTGCTATCACTGTATCACTTTCTGAGATGTTTGCCAAGAAACATGGCTACACGGTCAAAGCAAATCAAGAAATGTATGCCATTGGCTTTTGCAATATTATACCTTCCTTTTTCCACTGCATAACTACTAGTGCGGCTCTTGCAAAGACATTGGTTAAAGAATCAACAGGCTGCCAGTCCCAGCTGTCAGCTATAGTGACAGCCCTTGTTCTTTTGTTGGTCCTTCTGGTAATAGCTCCTTTATTCTATTCCCTTCAAAAATGTGTCCTTGGTGTGATCACTATTGTAAATCTCCGGGGTGCCCTTCTTAAATTTAGAGACCTGCCAAAGATGTGGAGGGTTAGCAGAATGGACACGGTCATCTGGTTTGTTACTATGCTGTCCTCTGCTCTGTTGAGTACTGAAATAGGCCTGCTTGTTGGAGTTTGTTTTTCTATGTTCTGTGTAATCCTCCGTACTCAGAAGCCAACAGTTTCACTGCTTGGTTTGGAAGAAGAGTCCGAAACCTTTGAATCCATTTCTGCTTACAAGAACCTTCAGACCAAGTCAGGCATCAAGATTTTCCGCTTCATAGCCCCTCTCTACTACATAAACAAAGAATGCTTTAAATCTTCTTTGTACAAAAAGACTCTGAACCCAGTCTTGGTAAAAGCAGCTTGGAAGAAGGCAGCGAAAAGGAAACTCAAAGAGGAAACCGTGATTTTCGGTGGCATCCAAGATGAAGTTTCAGTGCAGCTTTCCCATGATCCCTTGGAGCTGCATACTATCGTGATTGACTGCAGTGCAATACAGTTTCTAGATACAGCAGGGATCCACACACTAAAAGAAGTTCACAGGGATTATGAAGCCATTGGCATCCAGGTTTTACTGGCTCAATGCAATCCTTCTGTGAGGGATTCCTTGACCAGAGGAGAATACTGCAAAAACGGAGAAGACAATCTTCTCTTCTACAGTTTGTCTGAAGCAGTGGCTTTTGCAGTGGACTCTCAGAAGCAGAAAGGAGTGTGTGTTCTCAATGGCCTGAGTCTTTCTGGTGACTGAAAAAGTAAATGAAAGGAAGAAGTGTGTCTTGCCAGTTTCAATGTGCAACATTTTCTACTGTGAGAGGAGAGAGTGGTGTACACTTGAATAGTTCTCCTTTGAAGCGAATAATAGCCTTTTGATAGTCTCATGTGCAGCAGAGCTTATAGTTGGGTAGAATCAAAAAGAAGAAAATGCTGTGGCTTCAGACTTTCCTGCAGATGAGCATTCTTGGGGGTGCAGTATAAATGGAATGGAACTGTAAAGCAGCTCCCAAACTTGATCACCTTACTTTAGGGACTTTACATCTGAGCTCCACACTTCAGGAGACAGAGGTGAAGTTGGGGTTTGCTTTACCCGCACTGGAGCTTTTGCATGCTCTGTGGAGAGGGGAAGGAAGACAGTGTTGCTGGTTCACAGGCTGGTGAAGCATGAGGGCCTACCTAGATGAGCTCTGTCCTCACTGGTGTTTTCTCTGTTTGTGTTTGGCTCCCAGGAAGCAGTAAGATCACTGACTGATAGTTGGAAATACCATTGTCCTATCCTTCATGCAGGAACTGTGGTATAGTTTCCTAAGAGGATATGATTCTGAGAGTCAGCCTGACATTGGACAGAACCCTATTGTAAACATCTGATGTTTCAGACATGCCTTTTTATTTAGAATAAGTAGGTAAGGAAAGAAAGAGTGAAAGTCTTTGTTTCCTCCCCATCCGTTTCTGAGAATTTGCCTACTGTCAGGCTCTGTCTCCCCTTTGACTTAGCTTAATGTTTTCTCCTGGAATCTGTCTTAAGTTGGTATTTCTGAATCAGTAGCAGTCTTGTCAGACAAAGCAGATACTGGCTCAGCAGCTTTTGCAGCATTGTAAATGGACTTGTGTTACATACTCAAGGAAAGATTGAAAAAAAAATGAATGAATGACAATTCCCCTTAAGAAATGCCACCACCAGCAACAACCAGCCACTGTGGCATTTTGGCAAGGATCTGCTGGGCATTGGTAGTCTTTTTAAATCAAAATAGCTGTAGAAGGCTATAAAGGTGATAGAGTGCTTCCAAAAGAACATCCATAATTACTTTGCAACATTGTGAAAACAGTGCTGATGCTAACTCCCATGCCCACCCAGTTGGTATATGATAAATATTGATGTTGGGGACCAGTTTTTAACTTGTATGTAGGAGGACTTGGAACCTTCTCAAAACCCTAGATCAGCTGTGTGTCATTCTCAGTAGCTGGCCACAGGTTATGAATTGAGTAGTTTCTTCAGAAAAGCACTTTGACAGGTGAGAAAAGTTCACCCAAGTGAGGCATAGAGGACTATCCTATGTGAGATTAAAACACTCATCCAAGTTATTCAAGTACCCATCACCAAAGTACAGAATCATTTTTATCCTGTTATTATATGCAAAACAATTTAAAACATTTAGGGGAAGCAACCTCTGTGTAACAAACCTACTAAGGTAGAATGCTTTTACACATCACACGCACTCCAAAAACTGTCCCTGTTGTTTTTCTATTGATGTTGCGCTCCTGTTTCCTTGTGTGAGAAATACCTTTCTATGATCCCAATAGAAGTTTCAGAGTAGAAATTTTGGCTTTCTGTCTTCTAGTTTGTTATGTTGATAAAGACCACATTGCTGTGGAGTTTGACATCCTTGGTGAACTCTGCCCTAGAATTTCAGAAATATTAACTGTGTTTGCTTATTCTTTTGTTTAGCTCTCTGGCTTTATGAATTGTAAGATCACAGTATTTTAAGATCACAATACCCTACTCATTTTTTAAAATCCCTCCTGGTCTTTCCTCAAGCCAGGTTGGAATGAAGACTGTTACAGATGTTAAATACCCAGTGAGAGACTAGTAAGTACAGGTTAGTGGCAGCTGGAGAGACACTCAGTAGAAAAGTACTTGCTACTCTTGCAGAGGACCCAGGTTCAATTCCCAGCACCAACAGTCACCTGTAACTCCAGCTCCAAGGTATCTAACCCGCTCCTGATCCCTGTGGGACACACACACACACATTTTTAAAAGTACATGTTTAAGATAACTCTATAATCCATTCAACACCAGCAGAGAAAAAGAATTTTAGTTTAGTGTTAGAACTGCCCTTTGCCTTACATGTAAGTTTATGGTGTGGCTCTAATAGGTTCTGGAGTTCTACACTTGCATGAGCAAATTCTTGAATTATGTTCTGGTTTGTGTTTGTCCCACAAAAGCAAAGAGGATCCTGTTTTTTTGATAGCCATTTTAAGAACATGATTTCACTAGAAACTGTAGTAGTTGTCATCTTTGGGTTGAGATCTTCCTAATATCAAACATTAAAATTGATTTGATTGCTAATAATAGAAAGAATCAAATCTAGAACCAAAGCCTAATTTACTACCACCACCAGCAGCAACAACAAATATTTTCATTTCTTTTTGATGCTTTAAACATATTCGTGTAAGTTTTCTTGTTCACTAAGAACATTAAGAATATAACATATTTTTGTTTACAGAAACATAAAACCCTGAATGTTATTAAATGGTGGTCATTTAGTTGAAATACAGACTGTGCCTGTATCTATGTGTATTTTATGATAAAGCCTTATGTAGCACAGGCTGACCTCAAACTTGCTAAGTAGCTGAAGGTGATTGTGAGCTTTTGGTCCTCCTGTTTCCCTTTCCAAGTGCCAGAGTGGCAGGTGCACAGGGATGGAGTATGCTAGTATACACGCAGACCTGCCACTCAAAGAACACAGCTCTGAGCATTTTAAGGATAGATCTCTGAAAACTGTATCTAACCGGAAAGGGAAAGGCCTGGCTGGACGGGGTCTGTGTTCTGGTTAACTGCACAGTAAGATCAGGATTCAGAAATGGCATCTCTAAGAGCAGAGTTGGAAATAGGTTCTGTTTCCAGAAGGTTCTGTTTCTAGACTTCAGTGAGAGTCACAGGCTCACCAAAGCCCCAAACAGCTAAGAAGCATATCTCAGGTTGTAGCCAGAGTCTGGGCTGGCCTACTCAGGAGTACCATCTTCCCTGTGAACCAAGTAGCTGTCTCAGATAGGGCAAGACTGGCAGGCACCTAATTCATTTTAAGCATTGTCAATGGAACAGATAAAATTTATATAAAAGTTTCTAGTGCAGCAAATGGTGAACTTGGAGACTACATGGAAGTGCTAGATGAGTACATTAGACTAATGCTCCTGGCTACATTCTAGCACAAACAACAATCCTCTGCAGGGATGTTCCTGGCAGTTTGACATTGAAAGCACATTGCCAGTTAACCCTGATCTGCAGAGTACAAAGAGGAATTCAGTAGGTTTGGGAACTAACATTGAGTCTCTTAATTTACACTAATAGATTCAGGCTTTATGGCCCCTGTTAATATCCTTACTGAAGCTTTTCTTGTAGGTACTGACAGATGAACTGAGGGTTTTCTGCATGGAAATAAATGCTTCTTTAGATATCCCCAAATATCTGGGAGGCAGGTGTCCCACAGGGGACTTAGAGAATGTGGAGAGTGCCTGAGCTGAAGTTCTGCAGAGGCCAGAGTTGGAGGCAGTATCCCGCAACACCACCATCCCCCTCCTCTCTGCCCCATATATTCAGGAAAAAGTCTATAGTAAAGTGGAATTCTCTAGTTGATAAGCTTTACATTTTTTGCCCAGTCTTTTGTTCTTCCCCTCTTGGAGTCTTTCCTTGCTTCTAGTGATACTTTAATTTGAAATTGGTTTTAAAGCTGTTAGACCCTTTGTGGGCATGATGACCTGTGAGGTACTTGGAAGCTGAGGCAGGAGGATTGAGCCTTTGAGGCCAGCCTGAGATACTCAGTGAGACCTTGCCAAAAGAAGAAAAGGCAAAACTAGCTAGCAATTGGAGGCTCATTTGCTCTCCAATCCTTTTTTGTATAAAAATTATAACCATGGCAGATAGTAAATTTGGATGCTAAGTTTAAACATGAAAGTTATAATGGAACAGGAGGATAAACCAGTACTCCAGCTGGCTTTTTATGGACTACATCATAAAATAAAATACAACTGAATTACTTTGTGTTGAAAGTAAAAATTTAAGGTTTTTTTTTTAATAGTAACTTAAGAAGGCTTTGATGTAGAAAGGGGGCATTTTTTGTGTTTTTTTTGTTTGTTTGTTTGCTTGTTTGTTTTTATCGAGACAGGGTTTCTCTGTGGCTTCAGAGCCTGTCCTAGAACTAACTGTGTAGAACAGGCTGACCTCGAACTCACAGAGATCTGCCTGCCTCTGCCTTCCAAGTGCTGGGATTAAAGGTATGTGCCACCAATGCCTGGTGAAGGGGGCATTTTTAATAAGGTAATTTTTATCATGGTGAGAACTATTTTTTTACTAAAAGTATTTTGTAACTGAAATTTTTAAAGTAAACCTATTAAATACCATTAGAAAGTCAAATAAACATTTACTAGTAGATTTTTTTTTTTTACTGTGAACTTTGTACATTATGACTTAGTTTCAAATAAGAATGTATTGAAGGCTGCAGACTGGGCAGCCAGGGCATCAGAGCTTTTATGGGAAGACACTCTATTTTAAGTCTGCCATGGCTGCTGGGTCACAGAGGGTTTTATTTGACACTTGAATAGACTTATTCTGGGGGTGATCATGAACTCTGTTCCTCATCCCTGGGAGGAAACACAGAATCAAATAGCTCTTTCCTCTTCATTACAAATCATTTGGGAAATTGGGATCTGAGTCCTGATGCTGCCTTGGCTTCTGTTTCTCAAAGTGAGTGTGAATACCCACACAGCCTGCTCTCCCTCTTTGCAGCATTGTGTACACATGTGGACAGTATGGAGACAGGTGAATGCACTTGAATTCTCAGTCTTTACCAAAAGATGTGTGGCTGTCACATCTTTTACCATTAGGAACATATTTTATAGTAGGCTTTTTAATTCAAGTGCCTTGATGCTAATCCTCATAAGTCATTGCTCAGCTGTCCTTCAGGACAAGAATAAGGTAGTTCCTGTTGGGAGGGGGGAAGGGGTTGTTAATCATTTTCTTCTGGAAGAATGTGTATTGCTTATTTTGTAAGGTCTTCTATGTGCTTGAGATCTAAGATGCCATTTCTTTTATTAATAAATTGTTACTGTAATAAAATATTACTGTGTCTAAATTACTTTACTGCTGGAGGTTCTGATTCAAATATCTAAATATTGGTGGATATGATTAAAATGTTTAACTTTTGTTTTGGGGTGTTTTGCCTGCATTCTATGTGTGCATATATTGCACACAGAGGCCAGAAGTGGGCATCATATTCCTCAGAGCTGGACTTAAAAAAATAATTGTGAGTCACTATGTGCACTGAACCCTGGTTCTCTGCAAGAGCAGCCAATACTCTTAACCACTGAGCCATCTCTCCAGCCCCAGGTACCAGTGAATTTGAAAGTGCTATCTTAATGGGTATCATGGTACAGACCTGCTTCCCCAGCACTCAGGAGATAGAGGTAAGAGCAGGGTGATAGGAAGATCAAGGTTGTCTCGA